AAGCTCTCGGAAACCGGCTCGGCTGAGAGCCGAGCGAGGTAACAAACCACCCAGAACATTAAAACGCAACCGAAATTAACCTGACGGTAGCCAAACAACGCAATGACGACGGTGCACACGGGGAAACAGCAACAACAAAAAAAGCGCGCCAACAGGTGAAAACGCGCTCTCCGCGGACACGCATATAGGAGCAGGCCGTGGCAGCGCGGGAGCAATAAACCACGCCGCATTCCACAGATTGACACATTCTCGGAGCCGCTGCCTCTCCGCAACAACGACGCCGGTAGGCGGTGCCAGTCGCGGGTACCGCCCACCTGTCAAACTGACCCCGGCTTGTGCGCGCCGGCACCGGCACGGGAGATGCTGCGATCGCGGCGTCGGTGACGAGTCTCGACAGCTCGGAGCATTGCCACATTGTTGAAACGATACTAAAAACTAGGGATTTAATGTTGTAATTTATGTTTTTAGCATCGGGCAGTTGTACACGCAGCGTTTTCGCATATCAACTTTGGTTTTCTGTCCAATTTTGATTAACACTTGCAATACTAAGTGAATATCAAGCGGGTTCTCAGCTTTTTCCTTATTGTTTAACTTTTTCTCAAACAATATCCACACACACTAACTATTTATTATTATGTTTAAAATTTGTATGTTGTATGTTGTATTTAATCGTTCATGCTAGAGTTAGATTGGTTTAGATTAGGATACACAATTGCATATAAATTAGATATTAATTACATTTCATTTTTAATTACTATATGCAATAAAATGAGATGATCACCGATTTGGGTTTTATCAAAGAACACTTAGATATCTTTGCGTAGATAAAGTCATTCCATATGATTTGCTATCCACTAGTGGGGCATATCTTCAATATAACTCGCGGATATACAATTCTTATTAAATTAAAGAGTGAGAAGCGACTGTGATGTACTTTAACTCTCTTGTTCTCTTTACTTTTTTACCGATCCATATCACATAAATCCAAGTTGTTAAAGGACTAACAACACATCAATCCATGCTGTAGGCAAACTGCAAAAACACATATTTATCTAGGTTGTCGAAATCTGCAAACAACGTTGCAAACTTACACTCTTTGAGGTCAGAATAAGCTCATGTACTTTTATTTTTATTTTCATTTATATATTCTAAGTACTACTACAACCATCGACATCATATATTATTAAATAACCAAATAGAAATGTTTGAAATAATGGACTTTAGAAGGGCAGCCGTTTGGAAAGTCTAGATACTGTTCAGACCTTAATAAGCAAATAAAAGAGAATAAGACCCACTAATTGTACACATTACCTCTTACTCTTACTCACTCGTCTCGTTATTTCATTTTGCTTTGCTTGATCTGAATTTGTGTAGAACGAGAGGTCGATTCTCTTGGTGTCATATTTGGGGTTATAAATAACATTTCGCAACTCCACTTACCTGCGCTTAATAAAGTGCTTTTTTATTTCAGAACGATCCTTTAAGTGTTTACGCAAAAATAAGATTTTAAGATTTTTAAAATCCACGAGTGGTGTTTTTTCCGGGCAAAATAGGAATTATAGTCTATTTGAACAATGGTTAAATGAAATCCGGAAGAAATATTTTTTGCTAATTCTTCACAGGAAATTTTCAATTTTTTTCTACTCTCTTCTGTAAAATACCTAATTATAAAACCATCTAGTCTGCGGAAAGCGTCACATTACCACCTGAGTTTCTTGTCCCACGGATCCGAGCCCCTTCAGACATTTCCGGGATATTATCGCACGGGTTTGAGAGCAATCGGATGTTTTCGAACGTCTTGATTTTTGACGTTTTTCAATTCTGAGGGTCATGTCAGTGAATGTATTCGTGTTGTTTTGCGAAAATGGACCCAAAAAGTAACGGTCGGGGAAAAAGTGTAGTATGCAACATGTTTAGTAAACTTTTTAAGATACTTGTTTATTAAACACTCCTTACTTAAATGCCGTTTACCGCAGTTCTTGCATAAATATACTGTTAAGCCATTTAATATGGGGTGAGGAAAAAAATAATTTGAAAAAAGTGTTTTTTTATTCCCGTCTGTAATATACCTAATTACCCATCGATCTAGCGTGAGAGAAGCGTCATTTCACCGCGTCAGTTTCGTTTCCCATGAATCCCATGAATTTTCGGAGATATTTCCCACCCTTTGAATTTTGACGTTTGTCAATTCTGAGGGTCATATCAGTGAATGTATTCGTGTTGTTTTGCGAAAATGTAACCAAAAACTAACGGTCGTAAAAAAGTATAGTGTGCAATACGTTCGGTAAATTTTTTAACTCACTCGTTTATTAAAAACTCGCTCCGCTCGTGTCAAATAAACTCGTAAGTCAAATGATGTTTACCGCACTTAATGCATAATATACCATTAGAACGACGTTTAAGAATTTTTCCTATTTCCTATAAAAACCAAACTTTTCCCATATAGAGCGAAAATAATTACGGGGCGCACTGTATATTCGAAATTAGGGAAAAGGTCTATTGAAATTTTTTTGACCTTTTCGGATCAGTTAGCGGATATTTGAAAGTTATTGTTCGCTAGTTATTAGTTATAAATTTAATTCAGGCCTTTTAAAAGATTGTTAAATGTAGATAATTTTATTTGCTGAAGACGTGGACCGACATCAATTGGTGTATTTAAAAACAATGAAATTCCTAGCTAAAATTAGTTTATTTTGCAACAGTGCGGTAAACGTCATTTGAATCACGAGTTTATTTGACACGAGCGGAGCGAGTTTTTAATAAACGAGTGAGTTAGAAAGTTTACCGAACGTGTTGGATACTATACTTTTTCTACGACCGTTAGTTTTTGGGTACATTTTCGCAAAACAACACGAATACATTCACTGACATGACCGTCAGAATTGACAAACGTCAAAATTCAAAGCGTGGGAAATATGTCCGAAAACATTCGATTGCTCCCAAATCCGTGCGGTAAAATCCCGGAAATGTCCAAAGTGGCTCGGATTCATGGGAAACGAAACTGACGTGGTAAAGTGACGTTTCCCGCACGCTAGATCGGTGGGTAATTAGGAATTTTACAGACTGGAGTAGAAAAACAAATTTTTGAATCTTCTATTGATCGAGTGGACACAACTAAATGATGGGAAGTTGTTTTGATATATTATTAAATATTAATATAAAATCAAAATATTATACCATACCGCATCATTCAATATACTAATAGTAGTAAAAACCACAGCAAAATTTTTATTCAACCTCCGTATGATAAATTAGAAAAAACTACCAGAAATTAATCGAAATTAAGCAAAAGTGAGCAGTCTAGGTTAAAGATATAAATTAAAATCAGTAATTTTCAATTGAAATTGAAAATTTAGATTCTGGGCAAAAGAAACTAAAAACTGTTTTATCTGTAAGAAAATGGTTGATGTCATCTTAGGTCTATTGTTATCTGCATATTTTGAGTCCTTGAGAACCAAAGTGTAGACACACAGACTATGTCGACATTCTCAGAATTGTACATGAGGGTGTAACATTGAATCCTGTCGAGCCCCCAGCTAGACTAAGACTTGTTAAGAGCTGGTAAATGTTAAATGTTGGTAAATGTTAAATCTGAAATAGTATCTAATTTTACATGATTTATTCAAACGATTTTTTATATTAATATTACTACAAATTAGTGCTGGTCGGATTGCAAAGAATACTAATTTTGTTTAACTATTATTTATTTAAAGGCTACTTCAAAAAAAGTGCAGAGAGGACATTCGGATGCTTTTGAAGATGATTTTGGTAAGTGATAAAATATCTTCTAGCTGATTCAGTACTCCTTAGGTTTGGTTAGTTTTCGTGCGTTCTCTAAGTCATCATTCACGACCCATAGAGAAAACTTCAATTTCATCTTTAACTAAACAAGAACTTATGTACTGGATAACCACCAAAATTTTGAATTTGAAGATAATTTAATTTGTTTTATGAAATACACTATCTAAGGCAGCAGAAAAACAGAATAATAAGAGTGCACCATATCACTGAGAACCAAATCATATAGAACTCATGCTGCTGGTGAAATGTGTCAGCGAAACGAAGTTTATATCCGACGCTGGACAAAAAAGTGTATCTACAAGTTCCACATCCTACAGAAGTTTCTGTGATAAACTATAATCAATGCTCGGTAAATTGCCCTTTGTAGAATCAAAATTATTATTGGACAACTGGCAGCTTTTCTCGGAAACACCATTATGACCCATAATCATTTCAATATCTGGAAGATTTAAACAGATTAAATTCCTAGGAATTTGGGGCTGCCAGGGGGCTGAAGAATTCTTGGTAGTCATAATTCTAGTAATTGGCGAGTTTCGTATGTCATAATTCCGTGATTATTTAAGACTTGAACCAGATGTTTTCACATTTTGCCGTGGCTTTTTCATGTTCGTGGTTTGTATAATCTAATGATTGTTTACGATCATGGAGAAGCGGTTTGTGTTTAAACTTATTGAGTAAAGCGTTTTTTAAAATGAACAATGTTTTTCTGTTGTGAAAAACAAACCACTTGTAAGTCATTTGTAAGCATTTCATGAATGACTTGGTTGACTAAGACGAAGCATGGGCTGCAATCTTGGTGATTTATGTTCTAGAAGCTCTACATTTAAATTAAATTAAATGAAAGAACGCTGGTATTATTTTGGCAAATAATACATTATTGCAGACCTTCACTGCGGATAAGAAACGACAAGGTGCCTCGAGGTTATGCTTGCTTGTTTGGTGAAGTTTCAAAAGAAATAAGCTTTTCGCTTTTCACTTCGACGATCCGGCAACGTGGCACTTTATCATCGTCCTCTAGCTTACCATCGAGAAGAGCGTCGGCGAGTGTAGGAGCTTCGGACGCCGGCGCCCGCACACCAACACACTCTCAGCCGGCGACGCCGCTGCGACGACGAGACCCGTGACGGATCGCGCGCGGCCGTAGTGGGGGAAAAACAGCGTCTCTCGCTGTCAGTCAATCCAGTCCGCGGTGGCCACGCTCGCGAGCAAGTCGTTTAATTTGTTTCGCGCGATTCACCTCTGGTTTGCTCTCTGGTTTATTTACCCAAAGGGGTTTCCTATCGTAAAAAGCTGCGACAAACCCGTCCTAGAGGATTACTCTACGACGTCACGCGTATACGAATTCCATGTGCTGTGCTGTGTCATCTGACAACGTCCCTAATAATTTGGAACCAACCGAAAAAGTGCACCAACCAACACGTTGATAGTATCTCGGTTTAGTTTTAAGACAAAAGGAATGGAATAGACGGGTTAAGGTCACCAAAAACAGTCAAAATTTTGCGACATCTAAGAAGAACGGAGGCTGGCGCCCCATCCACCACCAGGAAGATGCCCAGGCGGAAGCAGGATTGTCCCAAAAGGATGAAATGTGAGTTTTCCGCTAGTATTTCAGACGGGTATAAGTCGCGAATATTCGGAGGCGCCGAGCGGGTTATTTTGACCGCGTGGTTGCCATGTGCTTCTGGGGTAGGGAATGATGGATGGGAGGGAGTGCGTTAGAGACGCTTTGCGCGCGGAAAGATTCAAGGGCGGGCATGTTACTTAGGTTTCGTAAGGATCGAGTTTGCCTAGTTGTCACGTGGAATGTGCAGACTTGGGAGGGACGTTATTTGGTATTTTTTGTCTATGGCTACATAAGAATAAGTAGAATAACAGAAAACATATTGCTTATGTATATTTTTGTCTTATTAAAGATTAAGATCGGACTAGTTTCGTGTTTGATATGCCATTGCTCGTTGAGTTTTCTAAGATGATGATCCTTACTGCAATTGTTATTGTATTGACAGTTTCTGAATAAGTGCTCTCTAAGATAATGTAGGTATCCATATCTTAAACTGAAGCATTGTGGTTTACACAAAAACAGCAGTTATCAACTCGTCATTCTACCTTCCTCAGGGAAAACGGCAAACTCTTCGTCAAGCTCAATCATTTAGTACAGGTGGTGACAACTTATATATAGAGTCGTCCCACTGAACCTGAGCTGATGTTAAATAAAAATACCTCTTGTTGCGTACCGTAAGCAGTATAAAATGTGTTGAATTTAGGATGTCGAACGATTGGTTTCAGCTTTCGTCAATAAACGATCCCTATTATTGTTTGCGGTGGTGATGGTTACTGTGCGATTGCTTAAACACTAACATAAAGAACGTCCCCGTCTCTCTTGAGAGCATTTTTGTAAACATTTTAATTTTTATCCGCTTGGGTTTTTGTTTGGTTCCTTTTGGCGAGTATTTAAACGTTGACAAAGATTGCTCCCACTGTGAAGTTGAACAACTGTTTAAATACTCAATTGCATTGAAAAGGGAATTGCCCTACGTTTGGGATATAGTGATTAACGAGTTCTTTATCTACTCTTTTTCGAATACGTGGCAAGTCTGGATGACTTTTTATTTAGAAAAATGGACTAGGAGCCATTCAAACGAATTCCAATTTTCAAACAAAAAAAATTCTCCCCAGTGCCAGAATTAAAATACATCTGCGTGCACCAGCTTTGTCGGAGGCGTATAATATAATTATTTTATTAAGATATACATTGGCAGCGGTGTGTTCAATCAAAATAAATTTTATAATTGTTTATTCTTGATCACAACGTGTTTTCATAAGCCAGACTATAGAAAATAATATGGTGAAATGAATCAGTTAAAACAAATTTTATGAGGAAATGACTTTTAACACTACTGTGAAAGAAAATAAGACGGCGGCTGGTAATTTTATTGCACGAACATCTGATCGATTTAAATGAAATCTAAATGCATCTGTTAAAAAAAAGATAACAGTATTTATCAATTTACAAATCATCTTATTAATATTGTTTTTATTAACTAATTGACCCTTATCCTAAGTTTGATTGTCAAAATAATTAATTTGGTATGCCAGCAGAAGAGCTGACTGGAGTTGAAAATTTAGAAATAAAAAGTATTCGACGTTATTCTGTTATGCATCATAATGACTATATTTTTTGCATTTGACGTTATAGAATGAAAATTTAGCAATATAATCACAAGAACCTGCCTTCTGTTGCTGTGAGCACAGACTAACATTCAACGATTTTCTGAATTTTGTGCTAGATTTGAAACTTCCTCTGTCGATAGAAAATGTTTAACTCTTTTTTAATATTTTTAGCGCAATTGTTGTTATTTAGTCTTATATTTATTTAGATGTTATGAGATTTCTGGATAATTATTTTATGTTCAACTAAGTATAAGACAGGAATATCATAATTGTCAGAGTCAAAGGCAAATAATGTGAAACGTTAAGATCCTGTGTATCATAATCAAAGTTGTTTAACCACGTGTGTTCAGTATTATGGGGGTAATAAAGATTTGCGGAGATTATTAACGAGAGGAACGGATGAGTAACATGCTGTTGTCATTTTTGTCACAGATGTTCTCTTTTGAATGTATTAATGCAAACTACACTTAGTCCAATATGTCAACGTTTTTTTTCTTGAACGCCGATTATGAGATGTTTAAAAGAAATGACTACTGACAATTTAATTTTTTTAAATTTTCAACAATTAACCTTAATTTAATTTCACTTTTGCATGCTCTACATGACATCAATTCAGATTGTGTCCGATCCATTTCTCCAAAGTCGTGCGTGCGATTCTATAAATACTTATAGAATTTGGAAAAATTAAATTTTGATAATTTCTACGAAACTCAAAATTTCAAATAACCAAATTTTTTTGAATATATCAAAGTCTCAAAGAAACGAATGTAATACGGATGTTTGACTCTAAGAAAGAACGAGTCTGCGAGGTTAGGTCGAGAGGTTAGGACAAGAGGTAAGTAAATTTAATTCTGCTCCCAGCAAACAAAAACTTGTTTTTCAATTTAGCATAGTGGATGCAAAGTCTTATTAAATTTAACGGAAGAAACTTTAGGTCAAGGCATTAAAAGTTTCGTTGGTCCGAAGTATAAATAAATAAAGATATAAATACTGGGCTATTCAATTACATTTATGAGAGCGGCACAATCCCAGAAGAATGGTTGTTTTCAACATTTATCCCCATACCGAAAAAAATCACAGCTAAAAAATGCGAAGACTACAGATCCATTAGTCTAATGAGTCACGTTCTAAAAACATTCCTAAAAATCATACATGAACGTATTTATCCCAAACTCGAAGAACATATCGGAGAGACACAATTCGGATTTAGGAACGGACTCGGTACACGGGAAGCATTGTTTAGCCTTAATGTTCTAATACAAAGGGCACGCGATGTTAACTGCAATGTCTTTGCCTGTTTCATCGACTTCGAGAAAGCCTTTGATAGAGTAAATCACAGGAAACTATTGGAAACGCTCAGACAGTCAGGCATGGATGACAGGGATATCCGCATTATATCTAACCTTTACTGGAATCAAAAGGCTCGTGTTCGGGTGGAGAATGCACTCTCTGAAGAGTTTGAAGTACGCCAAGGAGTTCGACAGGGATGCGTGCTCTCTCCTCTGCTCTTTAACGTTTACTCAGAGAGACTGTTTAGAGAGGCTCTGGAGAATGCAGAGGACGGCATTTTAATAAACGGCGTACTCATTAATAATCTAAGGTACGCTGACGATACAGTCCTAATTGCAGACACAGCTGAGGGTCTTCAAAGGCTAATAGACAGAGTAACGGAAGTATGCGAAACCTACAACATGCACCTAAACATAAATAAAACAAAGGTCATGATAATAAGCAAACAAGATATTGATGGCCAGTTTTATGCAAATGGCTCCCAATTAGAAACGGTTACATCGATAAACTACTTGGGCACATTTCTTAACAATAAATGGGAACAAATAAATGAAATTAAGATCCGAATTGAGAAGGGTAGAACAGCTTTCAACCGAATGAGAAGCGTGCTGTGCAATCTAAATATAGGCTTACACCTCAGAGTCAGAGTTCTTAAATGCTACGTTTTCTCAATACTAACACATGGGGTGGAAGCTTGGACTCTAACCGACGCTGCATGTAAACGTCTGGAAGCATTTGAGATGTGGTGCTACAGACGCATGCTTAGAATATCATGGACCTACCGCGTAACCAACGAAGCCGTCCTACAGCGTATGAGAAAACAAAAAGAGGTCTTAAACGTAATCAAGGAACGCAAACTATCATACTTCGGCCATGTTATGCGAAACCAGAAATATAGCCTACTCCAGCTTATTATGCAGGGCAAGCTTAACGGCAAAAGAGGTCCTGGAAGACGAAGAATATCGTGGCTGCGAAATCTAAGACAATGGACGGGAATGACATCTATGGATCTATTTCGGGCTGCAGCAAATAAAATCAGATGGGCCATAGTAATCGCCAACGTCCACTGAGGATAAGGCACAGGAAGAAGAAGATAAATACTGGCAAAACTTACACTGCAGGCGGCGTATGACATTTTCGTACAGAAGGGCATGATCTTCCGCGCATGCACATATATTTCACACATCAACTTGCATTGAAGTTCTTTACTTATTTTCTTATTTCCATATTGGCTTCGAATCTGTTCTGCTGGATCAGGGCTTATGACCTCAATTAAGTTCGTCGGATTTTTTTGAATTGTTAAAGCGGCTTCTCAATTTGAAGAACACAATTTGTCGACCAATGCGTTTATAATGAAGCCAGACGCAGGCGAAACATGCACCGAAATTTCAGGGGTCGGGTTATCGGTGAAGCCATAAAAAATTTTATTGCACAATTTATGGCCGGTTTGATCCCGTAAATGACAGGTTGTGTTTGGCAATTTGGCCTTCAGAAGACGAACTTTAATGGCGCTTTTTTGTAGTGCGATTTTGTAAATCGCCTAGGGGCGTGTGTTCATATGTTCGGCCCATTGGTAATAATCAGCTTTTGATTCACGTCTCGTTTTATTTCATTATCTGAACTAGGATACCTAAAGGGCAATATCCGCATAACAACAAAGCGTAATTGTTATCGGTTTTTATTTTCAAAGAAACTCCTCGTCAGTAGTTTGGTAACTAGCTGAAAAATATCCGAATCAAATAAATTAAACGAACAATTATATGTAAACCAATATTGTCATTGATAGAGATGTTTGAAGAAGTGGAAGTGGAAAACTTGTGACAAAATTTAAGTTACAGTTGTAACAGACACTATGTGTACTAAAAGGGGTAGAGCAAAGTGGCTTGTGTACAATACAATGCCTTTAATTATAATGTCGCTTTCGTTCGTCATGTTCAGTACTGAAACTATAAGTAATATATTTTAATCAGTAATAAATGTATATATGTATATTTTTACTACCGATGTTTTTGCTTATTATAGTTGCCTGTAATACATATTAATAACTAAATACTGCCAACCAATACTAAATTTATATGCTTTACAAGTTTAGACTTCAAATATATGTTACTATATATACATGTAATA